GAGGACAGAAGTTACAGTGAACTAGTAGTGTATTCTTTGCATGAACTAGTGTATTCTTTGCATGAACACAATGATTTTATGATTTTTAATCTAACTAAAATATATATTTATATACGAAGAATCGTCTCAATTTATGGAGATGAGATAATTAAATAGGTTAATTCAATGCCAGATTGTTGTGAGTGTGTTGCCTGCCAATGAATGATTATTGCTGGTAAACTAAAATTTTGGCAAACAATCTAATGGGCTTGGTTGAAAAAATTTATCAATTTATGAAAAATAATTTATGACTTTTATAATTTATTTTTAGCCCATTTTAATATATTTTATTAAAATATTTTTTTTTAATTATTACAATATTTTTTATTGTTAAATTTAAAATATAAGTCATTATTTTAATTAATATATATTAAATAATTTTTAAAATAGTTAATTATTTAAAGGCACCTTATATAATATGCACTAAGGTATTTGTTTCAAGGATTAGTTTTATTCATGGGAATTTTGAGATGAGAATAAAATTTTCTCATCTTTGAATTTGAAAAAAAGTTTCTATATTTTACAAAATTTATAATTTTAACATTAAATGTTTTGGTGTTGAGTTTTTTTTTACGAAATATATATTATTTAATTTATATATATATATATATATATATATATATAAATTAATTAAGGGATAGCGGCTACTTCTAAAGATATGGAATGGCCTCTCATGTACGAATGTCCTTTACAGTCTTTCATTTAAATTTCTTTCTTTTATTGTTTTATAAAAAGTATTTCTAAACTAATTTTATTGCTAATTCTTTTTGTTTCAAACGCTGACTGTGCAAACAAGTACTAATTAAGATATATTACAACTGAATTACAGCCATAGACGTGTATCTGACAAGACAATTGAATAACTTATAAGCTCATCAACTAACTTAATCAGCCAAAATTACTGTACTACAGGTGTTGTTTTTACATAACTGATAGAGATGTTTGATTGAGAACTTTTTATTGAAAAAAAAAAAAGTTGCTGAATTAAAAACTCTGATTTAATAAGCGAATAGTAGTATTGTGTTTTTTATAAGTTACAAGTTGCATGATATTGTTTGAATTTTTTTCCTATTAATTTTTAAAAAAGGACACTTTTTTATCCTTTCCTTAATGCCCTTAGTTTCAACAAATTACATGAGCATATGTGATATTTAGTTATTTTTTTTTCTTATTTTTTGTATGAAAAATAATTTGCTTAATAATTATTATAAACAATACAATTATTTATAAAAATTTAATTTTTAATCATTATACATGTACACATACATACATAAGTATATTCTTTTATATCAACTAATACATACATATTTTTTGTGTGGGTATTAATCAATTAATTTATTAGTTTTTAGCTTTCCAACACTTATAACAAAATGAAAACGTATTTATTTTGGAGCGTAATTAATCTCGAATGGATTGTGATACAAATACCTAAGTAACTGCTGATTGTGATCTTAAAGCAACATTATTCATGAAACAGTGTATTATTGAATAGTGATTTTGATTGATAAGAATACTGGGCATAAGAGATAGCTTTGATTGAATTCATTGGCTGCTTTCACCCTACCATATAATTAGATAAGTGATGTTATTGGGACTGGGACTCGAATAGCAAGCATGGAATGAGCATATGGGCAATATAAATGGAGAAGGCCCAAACCAGATAAAATGAGACCTATATATATCCATTCAAGAAGTTTTAATCGAGTTGACCAAAAAAATAAACAAGTTTTTAAATGAAATTATTTTATTATCCGTATTTGTAAATATTTATTAAAAATTATAAAAGTAATTTAACTTAAATACCTAAAAGTGATGGAATAGGAGCAAGCCAAGTCTGAAAAGGTACATGAAGGAGTTGTTGGGTTTTAAGAAATGATTGAGAATTAGGCCCTTCTCCTTTTGCCCCAATCAAAAACATGTTTTGGTTGATTAATCTTTTTACACTATTATGAATCTTAAAATACAATAATTAAAGAAAAAACAGTCATTTCAAGATATATCATATTTATTTATTTATTTACTTATTAATTATTTAATAAAATTAATGGGCTATTCAATTTTTTTTAATAATTTTATCTTTAATAATTAATGTTTGTTTGGTAAGGAATAATAAATTAATTCAATAAAGCAATAAATTAATTAAATAATTAATACATGTCTTGCTAAGTAGTAACTTAAAGACATTGGTTAAAATGTTATAAATAATAAGTTATTTCTATTAGAAATCATGTTAGAATATATTAAAAACATAATAGTAAGTGTATTTTTTATTTTCTAACAAAATAGTTTTATTTTTTATTTATTAATCAATACCTTAGGGTATTGGTTAGCATTTTTCAATTAATATAATAGTAGATTAAGGGTAATACAAAGTTAAATAATAATTTTTTTTATAAAATTTATATAATCAATTATTTTCTTAATTTGTGTGAAAACAAACAAAATAAAATGGGATAAAAACATCATAAGTATTTATCTATTTTTAATAGTATTAAAGTTATTCCATTAAAATTACCACATGTCTAATACTAAAAATATATAAAAAAATTATATAAAATAAGGTGAATATAAATTAAATTTGTACATATTTGCACAGAAGTGATCTAGATCATTTTTAAATTTAATTATATAAATTAAATGTTAAATTATTTTTTTTTAAACTAGTTTAAAACTGATTTTAAATTTAGTAAAATATACTATAATTTTTATATTATTATAATATTATTATATTAAAATATAATTAAATATTATAATAAATAATATAAAATTATATTTTTATATATTTTAGTCAATTAATAATAAATTTTTTTATACTCATATTTTATTAAAATTAATTAAATTTATATTGTTCACTTTCTATCTATTCACCGTACAAACTAATTATTTATATTAAATTTTAAATTAATATATATTTTTAATTTAGTTTTTTTATTAAAACTAGTTTTAAATCTAATATTTTATATTAAGTTAGTTTTAAATTTAATTTTAAAAAAATAATTTTTAATATATTTATAAATTTAATTTTTAAAGTAAAATTAATTTGTTAAAAATCATCATATTAAGACAGTGCATTTTAAAAAGATTTTAATAATTTTTATTAATTATATTATATTTTATAAAAAAATTTATGAAATATCTATTATTTTTTAAATTTATTTTTTAGTAAACAGAGTGGATCATAAAATTTTAATAATAAAAATATTACTATAATATTTTAAAAAGTTTAAAAAATAAAGTAAGTATAAAAATAATAATATTAATTAATTTAAAAATATTTATTTTATTTTTTGCCTTTAGATAATAATTATATTTAAAAAATATTATATTAAATATTTAATTTCAATTATAAGAATTAAAATTAATTATAAAATGTAATCATAGAATATTTTTATAAAATGATATAGTGAAAATGTTTAAAAAGACATGACTGAAATAGTACTTCTGTACATAAAATAAATTTGGATAAATAAAAAAATTTAATTTTAAAAAATAAATTTAGGAGGTTAAACTTGTTAAAAAAATATAGTGAATATAAAAATCCGTTTAACATTCATCCACATTTTTAAAATTGATTTAATATTAATTATAAATTAAACTTAAATAATTAAATTTTTTGTCCATCCTAATACAAGAAATTAAATAATTTTTTAATTATTGTCATCATCTTCCTAATCAAATGCATATTTTGTGGAAACGACATTAATAAAAGGTTTTTAACTCAATATTCCTCAAATTTCAACAGAAAAATTATCTATTATTAAATATACTAAAAAGGAGAGAAAGTACAAATTGCCAATAATAAATTGTTTGATCTTCATCGTAAACAACCACTCCACTTTAAGGTAAGCTCTAAATTTTGCTATGTAGACCTAGCAGACGCCAACTCACCTTTTTAGGGGCCATCTAAGGTTTGAGATAACGATTTTTTTCTTTTTTGTTGTTTTCTGATACAACTGTCACCATTTGAACATAATTGAACGACCCTCAAGAGATGATTGAATTGGACATGAGATGATATGAATTTGAAGTGCCATCATTTTCCTGGTAAAAAAGTTGAGTGCTGACCAACCCACCTCCACTCTCACAGTAGCGTAACTCTTGATAAAGGTACCGACTACGAGTTACTAGCTAGTTTGGGTTGTGGGTACATCACTACCCAAAAAGCAGAATGTGCTCGACTCCGATATTTTTCTGCTTTATTTTTTTTCAGAAAATATATAAATATATTTTTTCCTTCCAGCAATCATCACTCAACTTCAGAGGTAAAGTACAGAATCCCCACTCAGTTGAAAGACTGTGTTCTGAAAGTTCAACTCTCAGTCTCATGGTCCCATCTTGATTCCAGAGCTGCTCTCTTTACGTTAGAAAAATAATGTTAAGGCGACTTTTCGCTCTTTATACTTGATCAGATAAAAAAATAATATACTAACTAAACTACGTAACTAAAGAAAGAAGACAAACGCAAATAATTGCGAGATCCCCGGAAGGTCAAAGACAAAAACACCCATAATAATATAATAAAATTGTAGTATAAACTGAACACATGACCAAAAGAAAGTTAAAAAAGAAAAACAACCTTCCGCTTATGTTCCAATTGCAATTTTCCTACCCAATGTTAATCCGTCTTTGTTACTAGACGACACAAACATGACCGAATCTAATAAAATTTACAATGCAGATACGGAGGGAACCATTTCTGGAATTCATTGACTCTGCTATGCTAGCTTTCCCCTATTTTCCTCTGTCATGTCTCCCATAAGCAGTACTTGCTCCTTTCTCTCAGTTGTTGAAAATTGAGTAAGTTTGGACTTTTGATACAGGGAGATTACAATTACGGGGATTTGGGCCAATTGGTCAAATTTTCTGAACTTCCCAAAATTTTGGAAACCATGAAGGATATCATCTGTTTTCAGGATACTAGTCTGTGATTTTTGTTCTCTCCACTCAGAAAATCCTCAGCATGTTAATAACAGCATAATCCACTGTGGTCACCAGGCATGTATGCTAACTCCCAAAGCATAAAAGGTTGGAAAGGACCATTCATTCCATCTTGGTATGTGGGCTACTACTGAATAGAAATTTTACAAACCAAGTAATATGTAGTAGACTAGAGTAATTGGTAGTGCTATCAACATTCCAAATATAACCCTGCAATAAAATTTAAAAATTTCACAGAAAAGGATCAATTTCTTTCTTAATTGAAAGAATGAGAAACAACATAAAATCAGCAAGTTTAACTGCTTACGCTGTACTTAGAATGGCTGGATGGACATTGTACTCCTTGGCAAACACAAACGGAACAATCCCTTGTGGAAGTGCAGCCTATTTTCAATAGTTACATCCGTAAGCTAATTCTTCTCTTTTTTTCTTATGTTTAATATGATAATAACTAAATTATTCACATAAAAAAAAAAATTCTGGGTCTTGTCAGACATTCATTAAAAAAGGTAAAATAAATAAATAAATCTTTTTTATTAAGAATTTATCTTAAATTTCTGAATAAGTACTTTAGGGTAATGGTTAATATTTTGTCTAAAACTTTATACTATAATATATCATAGAATTTGGATCTCGGCGTACGCAAGTATTTACAATATATGATTTAAGCATTCCAAGATATGAAAGTACTTTACACTTTGTGAACTTTTTATGTAAAAACAAACATGATTAAAAGTTAAGGAAAAGGAGCGTTACCTGAACAATAGCTACACGTAAGAGGGAACCGCGCAAGCCAACAGCAATGGAAGCTGCCGCCATGACGGCGGGACCTGTAAGGAATCGAACGGCCATGGCAAATGTAGCAACTGAGTTCCCACATGCAATTATCTTGGGTTGAAGAGCCATAAACAGACCTATAAATGTCAAAACCAAAAAGGGGTTAATTGTCAATCCCATTTTAGCCGAGAGGGTAAAAAATAAAAACAAAAAAGGCATCCAAAATTTACTGTGACAGAATAATGTGAGAATGCTTTTTAGTTATCTACTTTTCTCAATGAAAAGATATTTGTGGTACTGCTTGATTCGTCCAAATCAACTACCTTTGCCTAATTTGGGTCCGAAAATAGTACGGTCCCCACCATCTCCCTGGACCTAATGGCGACGTGTTTCAAGACCATACCCCACATGTCGGGGACATTGCACTATCACTATGCGATTCCTATATTATCGTCTAGTGAACAAGATCATCTGGTTATGTTATCTGGTAACCAACTCCAACGGAATGGACGGCTATGAATTGCTTACATGCTTTCCCCCAAATCCATACTTTTCATTGATTCATCATACCCATGTTACCATCACATTCAATCAAGTGCCGTTGTAACCCGTTCATCTTATTTTCATTGTACTATTTTCTCTACAAACAAACTATATTTTAATATACAAAGTACCAAAAAAATATGTAGATAGGACTACTTAAAAACAATCACATGACAATTATCCTACTACTAATAATAATAGTAATAAATCATGAAACCATAGACAGGGGATAGATAGATACATTTTACTTCCTAGGTTTTAAGGAGAATGTACGTATTTACACTAGAAAAGCGAGTGATCATAAATAATGCTGTTTTCGTCAAAGAGGAAAGGAATTGCATATGAAAGAAGAATGAAATTATTGTAAGAGTAGGAATTTGGAGAAACTGAGACCACTCACCCAAGCTGAACATAGCCATTCCGAGACCAGCATCAGACAGTATGGAGATTGATTTCTCTATTATTTTAGGCATGTGCACATGCCACCTGCAATCAATTAATAAATGATGGATCAAAGCTTCGTCAACACAAAATAAAATTACTCTACAGTAACAACAAAAAGTCAAAACCACGGCAAAAATTAGCCACCGCCATTGTCGTTTTGGATTGACTTAACCACTTCAATTTACCTAAATGCCACGAGGGACCAAACAACACCAATGAGGCTGGAGTAAGTGTTGGGGTTGCGGATAAGCTTCCGCCACACCATAATCAGTATGAGACGGGTCATCACACTTGCCGGAGGCATGTATTTCCCCACGGCAGCTCCGCCGGCTTTTGGGTGCAGCTCCGCCGTTGAACTTGAACCCAGCTTGTTCAGCCCAGTGGGTTCCGCTTTCTCTCCCTGATCTAATTCCTCTCCTTGTTCTCCTTCTTTCCCCGGAAATTTCAACTCTTCCCCACCAAACTCTCCCTCCGCCGCAGCTTCAATTAATCATACAATAACCAAATCAAAACCATCTCTCTCTCTCTCTCTCTCTCTCTATATATATATATATATATATATTTCATAAATAAATAAATAATGGAAAATGAAAAATTACTCATACCTTTGTTGGTTTCACCATTTTGAGGGTGGTCGTCGGCAACCAACATCCGAATCTCCTTAGCACCTTGATCGGAGCGACCAGATTGGTCAGAGGCTCCGAAATCGGCGCCGGTGAACACGTGGAGCCCTCCGGCTTCGGAAACCGGCGAAGCACTTGAGCTCCACACAAACATGTGAAGCTCTTTAGCATCATGGGTCGCTTTATTATTATTAGCACTGTTATTGGCAGGTTGAGCTTGAACCTGCGACTGTGGCGGCTGTGGCTGTGGCTGTGGCTGTGGCTGTGGCTGTGAATTTTTGCTCACACTCTTTGTTAAACTGGAAGAGAATTCCGGATTCGGTGCCGGGTAAGCGGCGGGCACTACTGTTTGGACGGCGGGGTAAAACCCAAACCTGGGGGAGCTGATAGCCTGGCCCACGGGTGCACAGTTTTCTTCGAAATTCGATGGGCGCGGGGTAACGCCGCGTGACGTGGACTGAACGGAATAAAGATCCGCAGCACCGAAATTGGAATGCCTCGGGGCGTACCCCATCATGGAGTAGAAATCAGCGTGGTTGAAATTGGAGCCACGTGGCGTGGGGTTACGGGAGGAGCTGAGGCTGTAAATCTCAGCGCCGGTGAGGTTAGAGGGTCTGGGAGTCATCATAAAGGACCTTCTAGAAGCGTTGGATTTCCTAACCGTGACGTGGAGTTTTCCGTCATCGCCGACTTCGGCGTCTGTCTCGAGGAAGTCACGGCCGTCGAGGGAAACCACGTCGGAGTCGACTTTGAAGGAAACGATGGAGGCGGCGGTTTCAGGGAACTGTTCCATAATGAGGAGTTTGGCGCCGCGGTACTCGAAGAGGAAGAGGAGGAGCGTGTACCAGATGATGCACTGGAGAACCACCACTTGGACCATGAGGCTGCCGGAATATTCTCCGTACATGGCGATGAGAAGGGGAATTCCCATGACCAGTGTGTTGGGCAATGTGGAGAGGGAGAAGATTGTGATCATCCACTCCAGGCTTCCATTGGCGGTGAAGTTTGTCCAGATTGCGAGGGCGAAGAGCATGATGATTTTCTGCAGCGTGTCCGCGGCTATGAACCTGAAGTTCATGGCGTAAGGATTGTTGGTAGAGATGAAATGGAAGGAAAGGAGTGGCACCGCGAATATCGCCACGAACCGGTTTATGCCTGAACACTGGTCCGGTGAGAATATCTTCCACCACCGAACCGAACCGTACGCTAAGATCATCGCCACATACAGTGGGATCACCGCCGTTAAGACGGTGTACAGATCGCCCCAACTTATCATTTTTCAGTTTTTTGGTATGAAAATGGAGACTGCGGTGAAGCACGCTCTGTCAGTGGGATGGCATAAGAGAGAAAATGAGGATGGGAAAGAAGGGTAAATTGGGGATAATAGAAATAATAAAACCGTTAGTTAACTAACTGAGAGAGGGGGGATAAATGTCTCTGCTAAAGGTTTTGCCTACTCCACTGCTGCGTTTCTGATTTTGCTGAGAGAGAGCGAGACAGAGAGAGAGAGAGAGAGAGAGTTTAATTACGAAGCCAGGGTTAAACCTTCCAATAAGAGTACATATATATATATAGAAGGAGAAGAGGTGGATATATATGTATATAACTATGTATTTATATACTCACGGCAAGAAAAGAACTATAATTATATGATCATAGTATAATAATATTAACTAGATGAGGTTTTTTTTATGAGTGTTAATGAAAAAGGGAGTGGGGTGAGTTTTGGAAATTCTGGGACCAGGAGAGGAACAGTGTGAAGTTAGGTTAGGAAGTGACCGCCTGCTATGGTTAAGGTTACCCAACACTAGTTAAGATGTATTCATACATAAAGCTAAAGTTGCAGTGGACCATCTGGTTGGGGGAGAATGGGTATTAATTTCAGTGACGTGGAAGCCTGCGTTTCTTTTCCTTTTTCCTTTTCCGTTTTTTACTCCGATCTTTCCTTTCCTTTTCATTCCTTAAAACCCCTTTACACAATTTTGAGAGGCTGGTTGCAAGTAACCCAAGTCATGGCGGATGCACATGGAGTTGAGGGGGAGCAAATGTACCCCCTCAATTTTCATAAACCTTTTTAATTTTAATAAATTATTATTAATAATATAATTTTTTTTTATATTTACCCAAGTGACTCAACTTCAAGTGAGACACGGCAATTAAAAAAATGGGGTTTACTCCAGAATTTGCTGTGGAGTCAAATGTGAAAGTAATCATTGATTTTTTCCCCCTAATGTTTTCAAAATCATTTACTCTACGAGATACTATTTCACTTGAGTCAACTAGGGGAAAACTATCTTTTATATCCCCAAATTATTATTTGAGAAATGAATGATAGTATTAATAAATTTATTGCTTCACTAAATTGGTTTACAGTTAAACCGGTTGAACTGACAACAATGGTTATGTAATTCCTATTCTAGTTGGAAAGAGTTTTAGATATACGAATAGGAAAAGGTGTATTCCCTTAAAAGTTTTAAAAATGTTAATCCCTAAATTAAGGGAGAGAGAGAGAGAGAGAGAGAGAGAAGCGGATCATTCAAAATTAAATAAAAAAATAAGAGCTAGTTCCACTTATTTAAATAGAGAATTATTTTTGTAAATCCTATTTTTTGAGGCGTGTAACAAAAGAATGAAGAAAAAAAATAAAAAGAATAAAAATACGATACATGAATAAATGATGCGATGTATATAAGAATTTTAAAAGAATAAAATATATATTTAAACTGTCTGTAACTTTCAATTAGAGAACCTCTTCTTTCCCACATGAATCTTGACGGCCCTTTCCATACTTCCTCTCTCATTTCCATTTCTTCTCATTCTTTTCATCTCCACTTACAACATATAAGCATATATAGCACGTGTATTAATCTATAACTTTTTTAAAATAAAGAAGTGAATTATAAGTCACACTTTTTCAAAATTCTGATTTTAGTCCAATTTTGAATTTATAATAGGATATAGTCTCTTTCTTTTGATAAAATGTAAAAAGAATATCATAAATATTTATATCTTAAAGATGTTACAAATCTAAATCCCAAAAATTTACAAGAAAGATAGTTTAGTTTTGACTAAATTCAATCTTAGGTAAGCTCCTACGAGCGACATATATTGATTATTGTTGAGTAAAATCGGTTCAGTAATGAATTTTCTCTAAAAATAAATGTTATAAAAATTGTTAAGTGGATAAGTCCCTAAATTAAGAATACGCGCAATTAAATTGTAATGTCTTTTAGGTAACATTGTTGATACTGATAGTAAATTTGAAGACCATATTTATTTTACTATATGCTGATTGTAATATGTTATTGTACTATCATAATTAAGAGCTCATTTGGTTAAATTTGATTAAAATTATTTCGAATATAATTAATTTTAAACGTTAAGATGTTAAACATATTATAATTTTTTAATCATATTTTTTTATTGAAACATGTGTTTTTCTTGAAAAGCATGAGAATAAATTTAAGTGATAAATCAGATGGGCACTAATTAGTTTGCAATGCTTTTAAACTGGGTAAAGTGCTACTTTTGACTCTGAGGCACCTTTATCTGTCTTCTTTTATTTTGGTCGCGCATTTTTATCTCTTTCAAACTACCATGAAACAGTAACTTTTTTTTACCTAAGTTAGAGAATATTTGTACTTCGTGAAGCCATTATAGCATTATGGAAATTAATTACCACAAAGATTTCTAGAAAGATGTTAAGCATATATATATGTAATATAAAAGCACGATGTTTCATTCTGATTCCCTACATGTGATTGAGACATTTTATGGAAGAAAGAAAAGATTTGAGAGTGCACTGGAATCATAACTTTACAAGAAAATATATATTGATAGAAGTTAACAAATACCTTACTGCATACATCCACACGAATTTTTCAAAAGACTATTTGATATATATAAAATCAAAGATGGACTCACAAATTTCTAACAACGACCACAAAATTAAGGACAATGAAATTTAAATGATAATATAATATTAAAAAAATTTAAATTTGAATGTAGAGCACTGACATCCATATGGGAATATGTCAATACTTAAAGGTGCAATTTTCTAATATATATATATATATATTGCATTTCACGTCTTACAGTGGCTAAATTCAGGTATCAACTTTCCAACATTCTTCGTCCATATTAACGGTTCCTAATTTTACTGTTGGTTAGATCTCTCAACAATAGTCAATAGTTTCAGTTTCGTCCCTTTTATATGTACAGAAAATAAAAGTTTCGTTTCTTTTTCACCCTTACAACTCCTGGAGAGCATTAACTGGAGCTAGTTTGCTACTTCGCTACCATGATAGCGACACGGTATATAAAATGTGAAAAAGTGAGACCATTAGAAGAACGTAAGGGAATCCCATAGACTGCAAAAAGATTCAGAAGGAATTCTATCTGACATCAAGACTGAACCAAGTTCATGCACCTCTACATATGTGCATTTTCCCCAAACAAATTCATCAATTTGCTTATATGAAGTTTTAATTCTAATGTTTAATGTACTTTTTAAAATATTAAAGTATTTATTTAGTAAATTAACTAATTTTAAATTTTTTTAAAACTTGATCACCAACTACAAATAATATGTAAAGATTGTGGTTCTAAAATTATTATTTTTAAATATTGAAGTTTCGAATATATGAGCTAGTCATATTCCATTATTACCAAAAGCACTTCTTCAAGGTCAGAAAAAATAAATATCGTTCAACGCAAGTCATATTCATATTGACCGAAGGACGGTACAAAAAGTAGTTCCAGTTGTTGTTTCGTAGAAGAAAATATTACTGCTTCAGTTTCCTCACTCCTGGCCATCTCTGTAGTTTTAGCGTCTCAATTAAATTTCGTTGACCGCTTTATAATTCTTTCCTTGAATCGACCAATTATATTGGAAATTGATAAACAATTAAATATATAAAACAGCATTAAAACAAAATATTTATTCTATCTTTTTGTGATTATAAACTTTTGTGTTAAACAATAATTAAATCAAAATTTCAGAATTTTGACAGCTGTAATTATAGCCTCATTTTAACATGCAAAATTAATCTTTGACATTAATTACATGCTGTTAAGTGATGACAAATCATTAAATTGACTAATGGTGGCCCACATCATTAATCAAACATGGAAAAAATAAAATATAATTTTAATGTCTACAGAATTAGTAAATTTTTGTTTTGATCCACGTTAAGTTTTTTCTTTTAATTTTAATTTATTTGAAATATTATTCACAATTGATCCCTGTCGTTGATGAAGTTCTATTAAATAATAAAATATTAGCTTAATTGTTTTTATTACTCCTTTTGGCTCCATAATTTCTTTTTGAACAAATTAACTCTTTCCACTTCGAAAATTTACAAATTTAGTTCATCAATTGACTTTATTCTACTTAATACCATGAAATAATTATGCAAATATTTAAGAGATTTATTATAAATTTATTATATGAAATAGTTTTGAATGTTTAAAAGCAGAAAATTTAATGAAATTTTGACAAAATTTGAAGAATCATTTTGATATTAGATTGGGATTTGAAAAATAGTATTTCAATCTTTTTAATATTTTAACCAAATTTGATAGATGAACTTTGAGAAATTTTTTTAAAAACAATTTACTTGTTTTAATTTATTAAAAATTTGAGTAAAAAACATTTTGAGTATTTTTATAAGCAGAAAAATGAAAAATAAATTAAATTTATATATTTTAAAATATAAAAAATTAAAGACTACATATATATCAAATTTAAAAAATTAAAAACACAATTAAGCCTAAAATGTAAACCCTTGGTATCTTTATCTAACTTCATCTGCATTCCAAGCTCATCTCTGCAAAGAAACTTATTAGTCAAAATTAATTGATTAGTCAAGTGGTTATGATAATAAGTTTGCAATAGTGGAAGACAAATTCATATTATTGTAAAAGAGAACCACACGTATAAGGATGCAATAATCTTCATTCAACACTAAAATAGCGAAATTAGCTTTGGCACCAGTAGGGTTGAGTTTGAAAACTAGGTTGGAAAAGCGACAAGTCACGTGCAAATCATGTGACTTTGTTGTATAAAATCTTAAAAGGTGACGTGTGCATGTCCAATTAGTGGGGTATTGAGGTGGATTTCTATATATAACATCTCTCCATAAAGCTTCATCAATAGAAAGGATACGGGCCAAAGCTCAAATTCACTAATTTTATAGATAAAAATTTATTTAACTATTTTCATGTTATGTGTGACGACTGACGTAATACATTATTACTCATGTCAGCTTCCCATCATCACTTAATAGTACATATAATTAAGAGTGATGGCAATTTTTGCACAAGTTGAATTAACAGGAGACCTATTAGGAATTAAAACTAAAATTTTAAGAATTTCATAGGGGGAAAAATGTTTAACCCTAAAATACGTAAAAAGAAAAACTCCCTATAAATATAACTGAGATTAATCCTAGTACAGATAAGTTTGCTTGAATCAAAATTCACTTCTACTGTGATGAACTTTTATTGGTTTATATATAGCACAGTTAAACTTGAAGCAGAAGAAAAATATGATTGAAATATTTTCTTACAAACTAGTAGCCAAATAATATAATATATGGTTAGGTTTCCTTACAAAGTGTTTAGTTAAAAAGTAGATAAATTATTTTAAATTACTTGTTTTGTTCAAATATTTGAAAAGGAGAAAAAAAGATTTAAAGCATGTTTGATTTCTTTTTTAAAAACAGTTTGTCCTACAATTTATTTTTAAAACTAAAACCTGTTTCTAAAAAGTAAATTAAACATACTATAAAATT